TAGGGCTTGTTAAAACACCTGTTCACAGAATTGGGGAGAGGATAAGATGAGATAATGCATGCTAAGCACAGTATGTTACATGGTGGGCAGCTAGCCAAAAGGTCATTCAAATCCACCAACTACTCTGCAGTAGAAGGATGGGCAATCTCCTCCCATAATGATTTACATCCTTGGGACCCCTATAGAGGGTTGCCATAAGTTGGAATTGACTCAAGAACAGTGGTTTTTAAGAGTTTGCCACAGTGCAAGGCACATCATAAATACCTAGTACGGACAGCTGTCTCATAATAGTGGGTGATAAATCCTTTTCTCTGTGGAGGTTTGATTTCAATTTGGCTAAAGGAGGAGAACTATGTTGCTCAAAATCTACCGAAGAGGTCAGAAATATACTTCAAGTCCCTGCAAGGCACTTTTTGTCATTTCAACCAGCCCATTCCCTTTGCCTTTTCCATATCTGAGCTCCTTACTCCACCTTCTATCCACGCATTCAGGTGTTCCTCTTCCTGTGGTGCAGTGACTGGATCTGTACTAGCTCCTTTGCAGAAAGGAAGGAAAGTACTAGAATTTGCTACTAGAATTGGTGAGTTTCTAAGATGGCTATTCCTGTGCTTCGTTATCTGCTCCTTCTTCTCCCTAAGTTTGAATGGGAAAGAAAAAATCTGATTCCCAGAAGAAAGTTACCTAGTATCTTTCCAAAACTGGTTTAAACATTTTCTAAGCAAAACTGAGAGTTTGAAAATGTGGGTGCAAACAACTGGATCTGAAAACATGGACACAACACTTGTTTGAAAACATGGACCTGAGCAATGCTCACTTTGCCAAAGCTGAGAGGCAGGTTAAGCCAGTGGTGAGATGATGTTATGAAACATACGAAGACAAAAACAAATAAAAAACCAAAACACAAAACATTAATAAACCATACAGACAGCTCCCACTCATTTTCTAATGAAAACATTATCCCCATTCCCCCAGGTAATCCAGATAGTTCAGAACTTTACACAAGTGGACTTATTACCACTATTGGCCTACTAGTAAGGTGATGAACTGCTGATCCAACTGCAGATGGTGTGAACCCATCAGCTACTTTATGGGAGAAAACTGGACTATCTCTTCTCATGTGACACAACCTCAGAAAAACAGCTAGAGAGTCAGCCGTGATTTAGTTCAATTTGATGGCAATGAATTCAGTTTAGTTGAGTTGAATGACAGTAGAGATTATATCTCAACACAAAGGAAATGAAAATCTTCACACATTAATCAATAAGCAACATCATGACAAGTGGTGGAAAAGCTGAGGTTGTTGGGGATTTCATTTCACTTGGATCTACAATCAAGACCACTGGAAACAGCAATCAAGAAATCAACCAATGTACTACATTGGATAAATCTGCTGCCATAGACCTGTAATCTATATAGGCACTTAAAGACCCAGTATATAACAAAGACTTCAAAGTGCTAAGCATCTCTAAGAATAAGGGGCGCATGACCTAAGCCATGGTAATATGCATGTGAAAGTTGAGCAATGAATGAGGAAAACCAACGAAGAACCAATGAATGGTGGGATTTGCCAAGAATATTGAATATAACACGGACTATCAAAGAATAAACAAATGCCTTTGGAGAAATGTAGCCAAAGTGCTCTTAAGAAGCAAGGATAGTGAGATTTCACCTCACTATTATAATATTATAATGTGCATCATATCCTGGAAAGAACATCAGCTTGGGAAACTAGAGAGTCATACAAAGAGAAGAAACTTCAATGAGATGGATGGTACAGGAGAGGAAGACCCAGAATGAGATGGATTGACACAGTGACTGGAACAATGGGCTTAAGCACAACAGATATTATGAGAATGGTGCAGGGTTTCATCTGGTTGTACATAGTTTCTCTCTGAAAGAGAGTTTTCTCAATGATATCTAAGAAGAACAACTGACAAAACGTCACTGTTGTATAACTCATCTTTATCACTAAAATTAAATTATGATTTGTGCATTTTTATGTATGTATTAAAATAGATGTTGTTGTTGTTGTTATTGTTATTATATGTTGTTGAGTCACTTACAATTCATAGAGATATTAGGTACATTAATTAGATTTGAAACCTGCCCTACACTGAGCCAATTTCATTGCCTCTGACTGACCTAATCCCGTTTTCTTTCAGTCACTGAGTCAATCGATCTCATCCTGGGTCTTCTTCTCCTGTGTTGTCCCTCCACCCTTGCAAGCATGATGTGCTTCTCCAAGGACTGGATCCTCTTGGCCACATGTCCAAAGAATGTGAGATAGAGCTTCAAAATCCTGGTCTCCAGGAAAACCTGAAGTGTTTGCTGTAGAAGGACTAGGACCGCATTCTTTAACATTGATTGACACTCAACATCAAGAAAACAATGATTCTCGCCACTGGGCCGATTGGCAGCATCAGGATAGATGGTGAAGAGATTGAAACTGTTGACATATTTAGTTTGCTCCACAATCAACACTCTTGGTACCAGCAGCCAAAAAATCAAAAGAGAAATTGCATTGGGAAAGTCTGCTGTCAGAGAACTCTCCAGAGTACTGAAGAGCAATGATGTCAGTCTGGAGGCTAAGGTGGGCCTGATCCAAGCCATAATCTTTGCAATTACCTGCTGTGCATTAGAGCTCTGGACAATGACTAGGGATGATAGGAGAATTGATGCCTTTGAGTTGTGGTGCTGGAGAAGAGTACTGTATATACCATGGACAGCTAAGAGAACCAACAGGTTCATCCTAGAGAGGGTGAGACCAAGCTGCTCCTTAAAGGCAAGGATTCTGAAGCTTCATCTGACATATTTTGGACATATTGCAAAGTGGGATCAGTTCTTGGAGAGGGATGACAAGCTTGGGAGGGTGGAGGGACAGTGCAGGAGAGAAAGACCCTCGATGAGACGGATGATTCAGTGACTAGGGTAATGGGGGTAGGTGTGTCTGAGACAATAAGACTGGCACAAGATAGAGCAGGGTTTAGGGCTGTTGTACATAGGATCACTATGAGTCACAGATGATTCACCAGAACGTAACACCACCACCACCACAATTGATTTATATTCTTGTTGTCTGGCATAAATATAAACTTAAGACCTAACAACAACATGCAAAAGACCTTGGTTTGATTCCCAGCCAGTGCACTTTATGCACAATCACCAGACTAAAATCAACTAGGAAGAAAGGCCAAGAATTCACTTCCAAAAATCAGGCAAAAGAAATCATTAGGATCACAATGTCCAATTACATTGTGGACAGGTTCACCATGTCACAGGGAACAACTAAAATGTTCTTAAAGTATAATTACACAAAACTAAAAAGGTTTGAGGTTATTTTTATTTGCCTCTGCATTTTCAACTTAGACGTTTTATGCCTACTATATGATGATGGCTTAGTAGAAGTTAACTGGATTCAAATGTGCAGTGTATTTTCATTCAAAATAAGAGTTTTCCAAAATGAGGTATAATGAACATTGGTTACCCAAAAGCATGGTATCCACAAAAATATTTCCTGGCCATAGCCATTTCATGAGAGCTCTCCAGTGGTATATTTTATAGTTAGCTTTACTGTCAACATAAAGATCTGGCTTCTTCTGAGATTTTAATCTACTGATGGATCCTCGAGAAAGAAAGATCGTTTCCTCCTAGCACCCAGTGGAAGGTTGCCATGAATTGGGGCTGACTCGAAGGCAGTGTGTTTGAGTTCTTTTTTAATCAGTTTCAGGACACATTATAATATATACCCACTTTAGATTGCCTCAATATGTGTTGGCTTTAAAAAGGTTCTTCGAAGTCTTACAGTAAAGAGATCTATTAACTTTAGCCAAGTACTTCCCAATTTATTTCAGGAGGAAACTTTGTCATCTTTTCTTCCCCAAAAACTTATATACAATGCATTTCACTCCAGGAAACATGGGTATAGAAAGCTGAAGGTTAGAATGGATGATAATGGTATTACTGTAGTGACCCAAGAGAAAAATAATCAGGTGGAATATCAGCCTAAGATTGATGCTGAAATGCAGAAAATATCATGGCTGGACATAGAAATGCTACTTGCCAAATGACCCCATATATCTTAGAAATTGGCTGAATTTCTTCTAATACACTTTCAAGGTCCTCGCTGAGTCACTTCCATAAATGATGGATCTTAATGGCTCTGAATATCTCTAACACCTTTGTGTCTAACCATCTCCCTTTTTAACTTTGTGATTCACTCCACTCCAGCAAGCAGAGACAGAGTGAATAGGCCAAGTTTCATTTTCCAGTCACAAAAAGACATCTCAAGACTAGCATAAAACCATGATGAACTATTATAAGGTCCAGCTCTCATATCAGAAATTTAACTGGCTCACTCTTTAGAGGCCCTGAGGTGAGTCGACTTTCTCTGTCCTGTCTGGGCTGTGTTTTGAGAGCTATACTAATTTATGGCTGCTTTGTTGTGAGTCTAAAGGATACATAAAGGCTTCAGATAAAGAAACATGTGGTTTTGAGTCTAAAAATCCAGATTTAACCTCAACTCTTACATTTCTTAACATTGTGACCTTGAATAAGTCAGGAAAGGTGGAGGGTCAACAAAGGAGAAGAAGACTCAACCAAATAGGTTGACACAGTGAGAGCTGCAATGTGATCTAGTGTGTCAGGAAGTGTGAGGATGACACAGGGTAGGAAAAGGTTCAGATCTCTTGTTCAATAGGGTCATACTCAACTTGATGGCACCTAACGACAACATCTGATAATGAAGATAATGTCATACCTTCATTTTCAGAGTTGCTGTGATTATCAGAAAAAAAAAACAACAAATAAACAAGAAAACACAACAAACAAACCCACAATACTTTGATAGGTAGAAGGGAGATAAAGTCATGGTAACCTACCTATCTCCAAAGAGAATATCATCACTGCATTGAACTGGAAGCAGCATGAAGATATATGTTGGACCATCTCAATCTCCCCATCAATTACAAAGATAACAAACGTGCTTTGAAAGTGTTCTGTACCTGATTATATGCGTGCGCTTCCGGGTATAAGGGGTGATGACCTTGAAAAGAAGTTCCATTGCTCCATTAATCCCCAGCATGGCTCCTGTGGTGACTGAGAAAGAAAAAGGTACAAAAGTAATTGTGTCAACTGCACCAAACTCTGTTTTTAGCACTCCAGAGTGGGCCTACTGGGGCAGAGAAGCCCAGCATCTTGTTAAGGCACCTTATAAGCAAGGAACTGCATGGCCTTGTCACTCGTGGTTCACAAGTGCAGATCACCTGATGGACATAGTCACATTGGCTTCTGAAAGTGAGGTCCAGTCATGTAAGATACTTTTTATTTTTCTTTTTGGTGGCCCATTGCACTTTCCCACTGTATTCTTAATCAGGCTGATCAAGAAATTGCTGAGCCTAAGATCTTTTTCTTATTAGATATTTGGGTTTCTGGCAATGATTTTAATTCAAACCATGCCCGTTTTGCTCACCACCAACTTGGCACATGAAACATAATTGTAAGTGAGGGCACACACACACACACACACACACGCACACACACAGAGACACGGAAAGAAAGAGTGTATCAGTGTCTTACAAAGATTTTCTTAGACATGGTCTATTATTTGGAAAACTTCATGGTGAATTAAATTTCATTGGATAGGATATGAAATGTTAAGGGAAGTCAGGTGGCCTAGTGGCAGGAAGCTGAGCTGCAATCCCAAAGGGAAGCAGTTTGAGGCCACGGGAAAAGGATGGAAAATCTCCTAAGGTGTGATTAACTGTCTGAAAAACCTGCTGGAGGGTCAGCTATGGGTCAGTTCTGAATCTATAGTACACAGCAAAAAAAAAAATGAAACCTTAAGGGACAACTTTATAAATGAGATAGCTTCTTTTCTTGATTGCCCGTGACTGAAACAATGACTCATCTCTTAGAATGTCAAAGGAATAATCAATTCTTCCTTTTCAGAGATAATGGATATTGTTGTTGCTGCTAGATGCCACCAAGGTGGTTGCAACTCATAACGTGCAACAGAACAAAACACTATTTATCTGAAGTCATCTTCACAACCACTGTTGTATTTGAGTCCATGGTTCAACCCATCCCCTCAAGTCTTGCTCTTTTTTGACTGAATCTATACTTTGTCAAATGTTATGCTCTGACTCAAGAATTAGTCCTTCTTGAAAACATGTGTGAAGCATGTAAGAAGCCTTATTGACTTCTAAAGAACATTCTGGATGTACTTCTTCAAGGAAGAACATTCTTTCTTTCGTGGCATATCATGATGTTTTCAATATTATTCACCAATACTATAACGCAAATTCATCCCTTCATCCCTTCCTCAGTTCCTCAGTCTTACTTGTTCATTGTCCAACTTTCACATGCAACTAAAAATACCGTGGCTTAGATCAGGTACATCTAATTCCTCTTTTCTCCTTCTTCAATCACATTAATCTAGTGAGAAAGAGAACTTGGAATGGCTTGCACTTTAGGGCAGCTTTTGTTCCTGAAAATGTGAGCAGAAACAAAGGGATGATGGAGAAGTAAACGTGGGAAAGGAGGATAAGTGGAAATCCGAAGGCTCTTACAGCATGCCTTCCAATATAGCATGCCAACGAAGACTGGGGCTAATGTCTAGGTCATATTTTTTTTTATAATTAAGTAAAGAATTTTTTATTTAACTCAAGGAAACAAACAGATCTCACATAGTTTTAACACTCATTATCAGGTTGATATTTATGACTCTACAGGCCATGGGCTTTGCAATCACTTTTTATGCATCAGAGAGCTGGACAATGACTAGGGATGAAAGGAGGAAAATTGATGCCTTTGAGCTGTGGTGTTGGAGAAGAGTATTGAGGGTACCATGGACTGCTAAGAAAACAAACAGATTCATGGACTGCTAAGAAAACACAGATCCATCCAGGAGAGGGTTAAACCAGGTTTCTCCTTGGAGGCAAAGATTCTGAGGCTTCATCTAACATACTTTGGTCATATTGTAAGGAGGGACTGGTCCTTGGAGAAGGACATCATGCTTGGTAGAGTGGAGGGCAGGTGCAGGAGGGGAAGGCCCTCTATGCGGTGGATTGATTTGGTGACTGGGATAATCGGGATGGGTGTGTTAGAGACAGTGAGATTGGCACAGGACAGAGCAGAGGTTTGGGATATGAGTCGCAAGCAACTCAACAGCACATAAGAACAACAACAACAACAACAACTCTCTTATAAGATCATGCTATTTTGCATCCTTCCAAATATTTATGTACAGTATATTCTTAGGTTATGCACAGTCTAATATAAAAGGAAGTACAATAGAATGTTGTTGCTGTTGTTAGGTGCTATTGAGTCATCTGTGACTTATAGCAACCCTATGTACAACAAACCTATGTACAATTACTCATATGCAAATTCAAGCTGAAGCTGAGGAAACTTAAACCAAATCCACAGGAGCCAAAATATGACTTTGATTTCATACCACCTGAATTTAAGAATCATCTCAGGAACAGGTTTGAGGCCTTGAACAC